ATGCCTTGGGAGAGACGGTGGTGGCCACGTCCTTTTTGCACTAGAGGTATATGCTCTCTGCCTTCTATGTCCTTCTGTATTGTACTGTTTTGTTTACTGTAACCTACAAAATTCCTCAAAATAAACATATTCTTTAAAAAAAAATACCACCAAAAGAAAGCTCTATCTGTGCCCAAAACATGGTATAAAATTCCTTTCAGTACAGCGTTGAATGACGGAATAAATGTCAGTCAAAGTAATGCAGTGCTGAATACTGAAAAATGGCCCGGTCAGCAAGTGGTTAATTACACCAACAACAGCCATTTCGAACAATTATGTATTGAAGAAAAAAAAGGTTTAAAATCATGTTGTTTTTTTTCTTATGCGGGGGGGTTCTTCATGGTTTCTTGCACCGAGGCCCTGAGGTTTCTAGTTACGCCTCTGCATATTTGTTTTTTAGGTTTAGATGCGCTTTAAAATAACTCCCAGCACAAAGAATGCAACTCCGTTTACGCTAAAGCAGACCGGGGACACTGGAGGGGTTAATAGCCGTGGAGCACACCCAGCTCAGTAAAGAATGTCATGGGCTGGCAGCAGGAAATGAATCTGGAGGTCTGTTCTAGTTTTACTTTCGATTTCCTTTCATCAGAATAGAAACTTAGCTTTATATATATATAATAACTTTAACAGTCGGAACAGAACAAAACTCCAAAAACCCTCAAGCACAAGACAGGACGGCTGACAGGTAACAATTGCTGTGACTGCCTAGAAGTGATTTTGATATTTTATATACAAATCTCCCGAATTAAAAGCTTTGAAACTTTTCTGGAAAGAACTAGCGAGATGAAGAGATTTCACTTTCTTGAGATACATGCATTGCTTTCTAATGCTGGATTCACACCTATAGGCTTCTGGTCGAGCTGGCCATACATTGTTAGAATTTCATTCAAACATCTGCTGAAAATCCTTCATGAAAACATTCGATCTCGTCATCTTCATTCGAAACCCCTTAAAAAATGTTCTCCAGAGCTGACACTTGAATGGCATCCCAGTCTTGTTAAACAGGTTCCTTTTGTGCCTAGAACCTGCACATTACGATCCATTACAATTGTTAATCCGAATGGAAATCACTGTCACATTCGAATTTGCATCCATTCAGATAAGAAACTAGAATCATTTTCTATCCAGAGACTTTGATTTTTCTGGTCTCTGAGGTCAAAAAGGAATGTCAATTAGACTCACTCCAACCATTAGTGAGCTGAAAGCGACATTAAACCTTTATGTTTATTTTTTTATTTCCTTTTTTATGGTGGGGGCCAGACCTCCTACAAAATAGTTATCCTTAGTTCTTTATGTTTTTTATTTCCTCCTTTTCTAGTCGTATCCAGCCGCTAGCCCCACCACTGACACCCGTATGCGCACGGTCACGACCATGCCCGCACCTAGGTATTTGTGTTCTTAGACATACACAGCGTGCGAACAGCCAAACCCCCTACCCTTGCAGTCATAGTTTGACTGACGGCAGAAGGAGCCTATGGTACCCTCTCCCGTAACTAGGAAGTTTGGAGAACCCCAAGTATCTGCCTTTTCGTGGCAGAGGAGAGGAGTGGCTGCAAGTAAGAGTGAGGGGGACGGGGGTGCTTGAAAAGTGCTGAGCATTTTTTGCCTTAAAGGAGAACTATGGGGTTAAGACTTTTCCCCATAGTTCTCCTTAGGGTAACAGGAGGAAACAAACTAGCGTCCTCCCATCACCCTAAGCTCAGTATACCGCGAGCTGTAGCTTGCGGTATACTGAGACGCCAGTTCTCCTTTAATGTAGAGAATGCATTAAGGCAAAGAACACCCAGCCTTTAGTGCTACTGCATAATATAGGTTATATAGGCATATATAGGCATATATAGGCTTGTGTGATAAAACCTGCACTGTTATCACACATTACTGCAATACCCTGAAATATGCTGTAGATGTGCTTGGAATTCATTTTGAAAGGCATCTTAATGCATATATTTGGGCATATTAAGGCATCATTCAACCACCCGCACTTCAAAGCACACCAACATCCCAGACCATGGGCTAGAGTGTACTGCATTGCCCAAAAGAGATGTGTGTGTGTATGTGTGTGTGTTTATATATGTATATATTTATTTATTTTTAATTTATTTTATTGGTTTTATTTCATATTAAAGGATTAGTTCACTTTTTCACAAAAAAATTAAAAGGTGAACTAAAGCTCTTCACCTAACCCCCTGGTCCCCACACCACTTATATGTAATGATTACTTCTATGTAATGATTACTCCTGCATGACAACCATGCCAGCCAGTGTAATGGTCAGGGAACTTGAAAATCCAGCCCCGAAAGCTGTAGAGCAACATAATGGTTGCGATAGGGAGAGTAGTTCGGTACAGGCACGTGGGCAAAGTGACAGTGCCTCCCCACCAGCAAGGTATACTCACCTATCCAAGCTCCCATGCTCTCCCAAGATCTGATGTTGAATGGTTTCAAAGCTTGAACAGAAGAATTACATCATGGCACCCCCTTCTTGAAAGTGTTCAGGCCGGGTGATTGACTGCTCAGGCCTGAGCACTGTCACATAGGGGTGGTCATATGCTTCCCCATATTAAGAAGCTCTGCTGCATTAAATGGGGAGGTGGTCGATGGAACGTGGCTAGGTAAGCATACATACCTGGTTTATTTGCAGACACTGTCACTGTAAACATTCACTGAAAGAATAAAGCGATCTTGTTTCTTTAACTGTACCGAAACTGTAGATTACGACAGTTTATTCAGTTTACTGTCCTGTTCAAGGTTATGTGCACAGGAGTGGCCAGCACTGAAGATCATTTCTGTGCAGAGCAAGTAAATATTGAAGCAAGCCGTGGCTGTGATATAGAGGTAAATTAGCTATAATACAGAGGTTCGTGGAGTTAAGCTCAGCATGGCTGGGAAATTGGGTTGGTGTTAGTTCACATTGTGGTAATGTACTTTTGGTATAGTGAGACTGTGTTTCTCCAGAGCAGTGCCAGCCTCTGCTTCACATACACCAACATAATGATCAAGCCGGTCATCTGTGAGACACTGCCAAGTAGTTTTAAGGACTGTCATTCTTCAGGTTCATGTCATGAGCTCATAGGACTGACGTTAACTGGATGAGAAGACTTCTCTAGCCATCTGTAAAACAGACCTTTACATTTGTTATAGTGTAGCAGGACCATTGCCCCGAAAGACCTCATGACAGAAGCTCTGGCACTGATTGTTCTCCTGATAAAGCATAACTTTGCTAACAAGAGATACTGTCTAGGAAAGCATGGGGATGTACAGTAATGGAGGTCAGTTGGCCAATGAGCTTGAGTTGGAAGACGGTGATCCTAGAGTCATGGAGGTGGATATAGTGCCATGAGTGAAGAACGTATTCATAGACTCTGATGAATGGAAATACCACTGATGACATGTCCCTTGTACATTAGTTTTAGGGCAATGTTCTGGAAATCCTACATATAGCAAATCGGGATTGCAGTGGAAAAAGAACAGCTGACTGGAGGCTCTGGGGAAGTCTTTACAGAGGTAGGTATACTGGCTAGAGATAAGGAGAACTTGAGTGACACCAAAGAGTGCAGAGTCTTCTGTGAGGTGGGGTCTGGGAAAGGGTGAGTTGCAGCAGCAGTGGCATGTTCAATGAGTTGACTGACCAGTTGGAGATACCTTACCAGCCAGGAAGAAGAGCATCTGTGCTTGGTTGGGTGAAGAGAAAATCACCCCCCTGGAGAGAGTTAGTACAACAATGAATAGTACTAATGTATATGGTTTCCAGGTTGTAAGATGTCAGCAACAAAGTGTAGTAAAGCTATATGTATATGTGTACCCATAGGAACCCGAGGAGAAGGTGGAAGACATCAAGGCTCATAAGGATATCTGGGTAGAAGCGTCAAGGGGAGCCTATCAGCTGTCTTTATAATCTGAGGGTTCTACAGTATATCTGGAGGCTTCTAGGGCAGTGTACATTTTATTGATAAGCTCACTAACTTATGGGGGACTAGATTTCCCCAGGGAAGTGTTGGGCTTCCCTCAGCACCAGTGTTGCAGTCTTCTGTTAGAGATAAGCATGTCAAACAGTTTATAGAACATTCATTTTTCAGTGTAATGTGCCAAGTACTTTGTACAGTACATTAGATATGGAAGTTAAAACATGTTTAATAAATTCTACTTCACATAGTTATGTGCATCCCAGATGTTACTTCAAGTAGTGTTTATAGTTTAAAACTTTGAAACTTTGTACCTCCCAATTGATATGGGAGAGAAGGAAACTTTTTAGAGTCAAAAGATCTGCCATACCTCTAGACATACATAGATATACAGTAGCATTTTAATGCATTTACACACACCTTTAGGTCCAATTCAGTAGTTAGTGATAGGTGTTAATAGTAACTTACCACATATAATAGTACCAGTTTATAAAACGTACATTTAGGTTAGTTTAAACTGTTGATACCAGCAATTCTAGGTGTCTGCATTTGATATCTGGCAAATACCTTGTAGAACACCCAATGAGTTCCAAAACCCAGGGCCTACTCTTATGTAAATATTAACCAGGGCCTGTGGTTGAAAGCCTCATAAGCCAATGTATTGCTTCATGATTATAAAGGATAGAGCCAGTGACCAAAAGGGCACATGAAGCAGAACAAGCCACTTAAATGTCCCCTTAACATTCCACTGAAACCCAGCCCTGGACCTATGAGTACCCAATCAGTTTATAAAGGTCCAATTGTTTACCCCTTCAAGGTCTAGAAACATATGTTTTTTTCCAAATGTCAATAGACTTTATCCACATTTGGAAAAAATAACACATTTTTCTAAACAATTGGGCCTTTACAAACTGATTGGGATAGGTAGGACAGAGGCCTTCAGCAGGCAAATCCACAATTTCCTCTTACAACTAAGTCAAACAGATTATTTTATAGATTGCCAACAAAAAAATAATATTTTTGTGCTGATATCTTTTGAATATGATCATACTGTCCAGTCATGGTTGATGTTCCTTTTCCCCAGGAGCCTCATCCAAGTATGAGAATGCAGACCGGTTATGGATTTAATACAATTTCTGATGAGGAAATAAGGGAGATTGCACAAGCACTAGCGGAAAGTGATGCTACAGGAGGTGGTAGCGGTATATCTGAAGCTGAACTACGGGAGATTGTAAATGCATTGCAGGAGACTACTTTGTGTGACACAGCTGGGAGGATCAGTCAACTAGAGAAAGGCGATAAAAGTTCTGTTGTGAACATTGCAGTACTAGGAGAATCTGGCTCCGGAAAGTCCACTTTTATCAATGTCATCCGAGGTCTTGATGATGATGAAGTTGAGGGTGCTGCTAAAACTGGAGTTGTAGAAACCACAAAATATCCAACAGCTTATCCACATCCAAAGTATAAAAATGTGTTGTTTTGGGACCATCCTGGCTCAGGAACCCCTGGTTTTGACTTTGATACCTATTTAAAAAGTGTTAATGCCCATCAATACAACTTCTTCATCATTGTAGCTTCTGGAAGAGTTAGACACAATGACATGGAATTGGCCAAGGAGCTCTGGTCAATGGGGAAGAAATTCTTCTTTGTGAGAAACAAAATTGACTCCGACTTGAAGGCCAGCAAACTTCGTAAAAGGAAGACTTATAATGAGGAAAGGATATTGACAGATGTTCGGACTAACTGTATGAAAAATCTGATGGACTGTGGAATACGACTGCCAGTTGTATTTCTGTTGTCTTGCCTAGAGCTGGAAAAATATGACTTTCATTTCTTAAAGAAGACCCTAGAAAAAGATGTTATGAAACAAGAAAGATAACATGCCTTTCTGTCCAAAACATTTACATTTGTGATGTAGGCTACAAATTTATTAAAATGTAAAAAACATTCCTTTAAAGGGAAAGTTCCACTATCCTCTACACCAGTGGTTCTCAACCTGTGTAACCTCAGGACCCACATTTTCCCTTGGTCATTAAGTCGCGACCCAAGTCTGCAATGTCTGCACTGCAATGGAACATACGGCATTAGGGTACCGTGCATTCCAGTGCGGGCGTACAAATTATGGGTGGGAGGTGAGTTTGGGGTACCATTCAAATGAATGGCAGCGCAACACACCTCTCACCCCAAAATACACTTTAGGTGTGATTGCGCGGTACAGTGCGTTAATCGCACAGTACTATGTGATTAAAGCACTGTACTAGTGTGAAGGGGCCTTCAAAAACACTGACATACATACACAAGCACAGACACAATCTTACACACTCACAGACATTCTCACACACACATGCACACTCCCAATTTTTATTTTTTTTAAGATCCACCCAGTCTCCCTACCTTACGAGAACTGGAGTGTATCCTCAGCCTGGGGTCTAGTGTAAACTGCTGTCTTGTGACGGAGCTCCATCCATATGTGCATTGCTTGTACAGCTCCCTTGCGCGCCCTGTAGAGGTGCCCGGGGGCCAGAATGTGATGTCACTCCGGTCCAGGCACCTCTATAAAACAGGGAGCTGTAAGCAATGTACATATGGATGGAGCTCCCTCGCAGCCATAGCCCCATCCCATTTCAAGCTGACACTCGGCACCAGGCAGCATATTTTGAATGGCTGCTTGGCACGAGAACTGACAGTGCTGCTCTAGGAGGAGGCTGAGGAGCCTCTCATCTAGAAAATTGGAAGGCATGCAACGACCCACTGAACATGGGGTTGTGACCCACTTTTGGGTCATGACCCACCAGTTGGGAACCAAATATCTACACCAAGGGTCTCCAAACGTTGGCCCTCCTGCTGTTGTGGAAGTCCCATAAAGCATTGCAAAATTCTGGCATGACTTCCAGAGGCAGATGCCTGATGGGATTTGTAATTTTACCACAGCTGGAGGGTCAAAGTTTAACTACCTGCTCTACACCAACCATGTAGATTATGTACTTACAGAAACGGATATTAGATTAACTGCAGCCTGATATACTAGTTGTGAAGCTTTGCATCTACACAGGGTGACAGATGGAGAAGATGGTCCATTGCTACATGAGGATCCACCTGGAGAAAGTGGTCCATTGCTATACGAGAAATTGACTTGGAGTGCCAGGTCATCAAGACAGAGTTAATTTGGCTTCTCACTGCTGATCATTTGGGTCCTCTATATAGGGACACAATCCACTGAAGCTTGTATAGAAACCTTACAAAAATATAGTGGTCAACTGATGACCTCCTTCTGTAAACACTAGTCCCTGACTGGGATTTGTAACCCAGAAAGAGCATGCATGTCAGGAAAGTCTAAATATGGTCAAAGTTCCTGAATTGCATACTTGTTTTGGGTTGGTGACTCAGAAAGTACTGAAGACATTGCACCAGAAGGGCAGCAAAAAGGATCCACAATGGTGCCTATACTTCTTAACTACCAGTTTTCTCTGAAACGCAACTCCAGCAAAACCTTATTTTGTTTAGGATAGCATGGGGAAGGCTTTGTCACTTTTTTGTTGCTGAATTTTGTACAACAAAATGTTTTCAAGTTTATATCTAAATTCTAAAATAATTTGGGTTTTTAAATGTAAAAGTTGTAAACTGATATATACAGGGCCGACTCTATAGAAGACAAAAGCAACAAAGCGCCACCTCCTTGTGTGAAATCTTTTTTTTATTTGAATAATAAAAACGGTTATAAATACTCAAATTTATAAAATTTCAGTCATGCTTGTCAATAAGAGACCACAAGATCAGTGTCTAAGGAATGTTCCGCTCCGACTGCGTATAAAAAGCTCCCTCCGGTCACATCACCATACCATCGTGCCACCGGCTTGGCATACCCCCTTCCTCAGAATTACAGCATGCTTGTCAGGCGTATGTGAAAATCGTTCTGCAGAAAACTTTGTCCTATATACCGTCTGTCCTCAACACTGAGCTTGTGTTCAAGGATATCTCTTTATCCGACTCTATAATGAGGCAGCCTGAGGTGGTTGCCTCAGGTGGCATCTCATTGGCTCAATGACATCACTGGATCTTTCTTTTGCTGGTCATGTATTCCTCCACTAAAAAAGTGGAGCGGGATCACGTAAAATGTGTGACCACATGACTGGTCAGACATTCTACTGCCAAAAAACTGGGCGGGATTAGGTTAAAATGTGTGACCATTTTACCGGTCACACATTCTAACGCAGTCACTACCTTTGATAGTTTAATTTGACCTCAAATTTTGAGATTGCTAATTTTACACAGTTTGTTAGACTTAAAAGAGAATTTCTTACGGGGCTGAAGGAATTATTGAAAAATAAAAGACTTTTTCGTTAGCAATACATTACAAAATTGGTACAATGATATCTTATGTTTTAGTTATATTGGCAGTGCAGAGGGCAGTAACCAATTGCAACCAATCATATTTCATGTTTAAATTTAGAGCTTTCCTAACACAGGTTTGGTCACTACTATTATGTTTTTACAATAAATTGGGTATTAAAGTATTCTTTTTTTTTTTTGCTTTTCATTCATCATTAGGAGATTTCCCTTTATTTATTTATTTTTTATTTAATTATTTAATTACAAGGGGGCAGGCTTTCCAAAAGTTATATTTTACAGGCCAAAATAGCTGATTTGGCAAAACTCTCCACTTCAGCTCACTTTCCAGTTCAGCGATGTTGTCCTAGATTGTTCACTTCTCCGGCCTTCTCCGAACTCTTCACCCTTTTGTGAATAACCCTGTTAATTATGTGTTTTCTCATAATATTAGGACAGGGTAAAGAGGGCATTTCCCTATGGCCCCTAACCGAACTTGTAGTAAATGACCCATATGTTGACATACTGCCTTCTTACTTAATGGAAGAAGCAGTTATTTTTCTGTGTGTAAACTATGGGCATCTAAGGAAATTATGTATTGTCCAACTGTATAAAGCATGTCTTTTTTTTTTTCTTTCATTTTTATTGACAGCAATGGCTCCTCCCTAAGGTGACCCTGTCATTATCTAAAAAAAGAAAAAAGTAATAGTGATACACCAGAGAGGTATGATACTCACCTCGCCTACCTTTCCACCGCCCAAGCTAGTAGCCTCCAAAATACTCAAAATTTAAACATTCTGGTACTATTGGATGGTTATGTACCTTATAGCATTATGTGGCTCCATTCCCAGACCCTATGTCTCTGCTGTGGCTGTAGGGACTTATTCTTAAGAGGAAGAAGCCATAGCATGCAGGGGGGGCATGCTATGGCTGAATAGTCTTACAGAAATTTACAGATAGCCTCCAGAGCGGTGTATTTACTAACTTATCTTTGTCAGGGGAGTGCCATTAGGGTTTTTTGGGAGTCTGACAGTGTCTCTTTAAACATCATGCTCCAGAACTTATGCCAAATTATTTTTATTCTTCCATAGGAAGTTTTCTGAAATGGATTCTTTGGAATCATTTGATATAATCTCCAATGAGGAAGTGGAGGAAATTAAGACAGCTTTGGAAGAAGGTGACCTATGTAAAGCAACCGAAAAACTCAGCCAGTCTCTAAAAGATATTGAGAATGCTCCATTAAACATTGCAGTAACGGGAGAGTCGGGATCGGGAAAGTCAACTTTTGTCAATGCCATCCGCGGCCTGGATGATGACGAGGAAGAAGGTGCTGCTAAAACAGGAGTCACAGAGACCACTATGGAACCGAAAGCCTATCCACATCCACAATGCAATAATGTGACATTGTGGGATCTTCCTGGAATTGGGTCCCCAACTTTTAAGCCAAACGACTACCTTGAAACTGTTGAGTTCGATCGGTATGACTTTTTTATAATCATATCATCAGATCGTTTCCGACACAATGATATGGAGCTGGCTAAAGCGATCCAGTCCATGGGAAAGAAGTTTTACTTTGTACGATCAAAAGTAGACTCAGACTTGACTGCTTCCCAAAAGCGTCGAAAAATGTCCTATAATGAAGAGAACATATTGAATGAGATACGGAATAACTGCAGTACATGCCTTCAAGAGGGAGGAATCCAAAATCAGAAGGTGTTTCTTCTCTCCTGTCTGGAGCTAAACAAATATGACTTCAATCAAATGCAAGAGACTTTAGGACAGGAACTTCCAAGTCATAAGCGACACGTCTTCATGTTATGTTTGCCCAATATTTCTCTCCCAGTTCTAGAAAAGAAAAGAGAGGCCCTAAAGAAGCAGATCTGGAAGTGGGCATCTCTCTCCTGTGCTGTGGCAACAGTCCCCCTTCCAGGTCTGTCTGTGGCTTGCGATGTTGGCATCCTGGTGAGAGAAATGAGAAAATATCGGGATGCATTTGGCCTGGATCAAAAGTCCCTTGAAAAGTTGGCCAACAGAGTTGATAAAGATGTTGCTGAGTTGAAGTCTGTTATCAAGTCACCCATAGTGGTAAAAGAGATAAACAAAGAGCTTGTCACCACATTATTAACCAGAGGAGCAGCTGGGTCACTCATGTTCATTGAATATTTAGCTAGTAATATACCTGTGGTTGGCACAATGGCAGCAGGTGGCATCTCGTTTGCTACAACATATTTAATGCTCTATTGGTTCCTGAAAGATATTGCGGAGGATGCAGTAAGAGTTCTTGAAAAATCTTTAGATTCTCCTGTTTAAAAAACAAATTCTCAGAAAAAAATGAAATGTATCAAATGAAATCACATGTTGAATATTCATGCGACCACTACATCCACAGCTTCAAAAGCAGCTTCTGAATACAAATTGCACATATACACCATATGTCTAAACATGTGTGGACCATCACGCGTAACTAAATGGCTAAAAGACGGTGAACACCCCTCCTAATTTTTGTGTTTGGTTGTTTCCATTGAACGGAATGCTACTGCATACAAAGACCTTCTGGGCAATTTTGTGCTTCCAACCTGATGGCAACAGTTTGGAGAAGACCTTTTTCTGTTCCATTATGACTGTGCCCCTGGGTAGCTAGCTCATATAAAGACATGGTTTGATGAGTTTGGTGTGAAGGAACTTGAATGGCCAACACAGAGCCCTGACCTCAACCACATAAAACCTTTTGAATAAACCAGAACGCCAATTCCCAGCCAGTTAATTTTGTACAACATCAGTGCCTGACCTCACAAATGCACTTTTGACTGAATGGGCACAAACTTCCACACACTCCAAAATTTTAAGGAAAGCCTTCCCAGAAGATTGGAGGCTGTTATAGCCACAAAGAGGGCGACAACTTCATTAATGTCCATGTTTATAGAATGGGGTGTTTAACAATCTTATATTGGTGTGATGGTCAGGGGTCCACAAACTTGGCTTTATAGCGTACAGTGTATTCAAATAGGCTTGAGCATTGTATGTGATATTTGTATTTGCATGAACAGTTTGTTTTTTCAGAACCAACATTTGGGTGATCCATATACTTCTTCTGGTCTAAGCAATAACGAGGTTTGGCAAAATGCTAAAACATATCTGCATTTAAGAAGCTTAGTTGCATATTTGTCTCAGCATTTTGCTAAATCTGTATGGATCAGTACTGCTTAGACCTAGAAGAAGAGGTAGACCCCTACAAACCTGTCCTGAAATGCTGTTAGTTCCAATAAAAGGAGTGTCACAAATCATACTCAACTGTGTTATTACAAGAGCACTCATATGGCTACAATCACCTCATTCATGTAAATGTATAAAGTAACTGATAGGTCCACTTCAAAACCCAAGTGAACTTTCAGTTTAAATCAGCTAAATAAATTACAGGTGAAATAAAACAATTGTCTGCAAAACCACACAGCAGCACACTGAGTGGAAAAGCCAGCACAATGTAAATCCTTGCTCTCTCTGTGGAAACAGCGGTCTTGCTGCAGAGGTTTTACACCCCCCTTGTGAGTCATACTTTCTGCTGATTGGAGAGCTCTAACTCTGAATCAGAAGGTGCGTACTGGACCTCTGCAGAGTGACTGCTGCATTCACACAAAAAGTATGGGGTCCTCTACAGCATACTGGCAGGGAACAGTTCTATTCAGGCTGTGTCGACTTTCTAAGGAAAAAAACTCTAAGGCTTTGCACCTGCACACAGAATATATTTAGGTAATACAAACCAAAAGTTCACTTGGGTTTTAGGAAACTACCAAAAGGAACATCATTTCATTAACATATAAGGGAAAATTATAATAACTGAATGGCAAAGTACCATATACTATAGTATATAACCCAGATAGCAAGCAATTGAGCTGCAAGTTTGAAAATGACTTGCTAAACTATTGCTAGACTTGCCAAGCTTCACAATTTTGTTGCACAATTACAGCAAGTCTGCATTGCAAGTCTCCAGACCAGCGAGCTTGCAGAGCTCTTGCTAAGACCTGCAGGACTCTTGCTGTAGACTTGCCAAGCACATTTTCTACAAATTCAAAAAGTGTCAACTAGAACTTGTGCTGCGAGTGTTCTTCAAGTCTACAACTTGCCAGGAATGTGTGCAGGAAGTTAACAAAATTACAATTTCACCCTGACACAAGTTTGTAGCAAGTTACCCTTGCTATCTGGGAAGTTGTCTGATGAAATGTCATGTGACATGGAAATGCACAATACATGTCTATTTTTCTTCTTTTAAAGTGCAAGCTTATCTAATCTTTCAAAGTTAAACAAGCCCAGTTTTCTAATCTTTTATTATATGTAATAATATAATCCTTTTCATAATTTTATGACCTGCGTCTGAAACTAAAATGGATGCTAAAGATTTTTGTAAAATGAAAATCACACCCAAGACTTTTCCCTCACTACTATTAAAGTTGGATATTTAAATTGACTTATTTTGTGTATTCTGTGTTTTTTTGGGGTGCACGCTCAATGGACAGGAAAACAGATTCATATCAAATCTATATATTTTCTTAGTTTTTTTATTAAAATCATATAAACCAGATAATATGAAGTTGCTAACTTGTGATATCAGTAGAATAGACATAAATACACCACCCCTGAGGTATCCACCATTTTGTTGTAATGCACATGTTGAACAATTTATCCATTTGTATATCTTGATATTAATTAAATGATGGAACCATGATGAACTCTTAATGCCTTTCATGAACTCAGTCCACTTCTTCAGGAGAAACAAAGGCCATGAGATCTACAACATAAAAGTGCATACTAACCATCACATTAATTTAAGCTATACAACCCTGGGAATGTCAATAATTAATTAGTTTGAGTATGCACTTACATATAATCACCATGTACAAAGCAGCAAAAAAACTAATTTAGCCAACCGTGTGCGTGTGAGCCCAACTGCATCAAGGCAACCCGAAGGACCCCAGACGACAACCAAGAGCCAAGCCCCAGCACTATTATCTTCAGTAATTGTCCCATACCCTACGGAAAGAGGAAGAAGAGAAGAGGAGCGAGAAATGTAATATTGCATGTAGCATTGCTTCTCTTCAATATACAGCTTATTGAGCTTTAGAATGGTGTTGTTTTTTTCTCTCTCTCATTACTTAATGAAAATGTTATGTTATTTTCCAGTAACAGTTTCTTGGGAATAAGACTGAAGAGGACGGTAGCTGTCCTGAAATAGAAGCTTGAGTAAAGTGTTGTCACTCTAGGGCAGCAAGTGTCTTACTGGCAGACTCACACTGGCATAACATGAATGAGCCTGGAAAAGAATAAACGCGTGTAGCCACCACATCTTATGTTTGCTATGCTGTGATATATTACTTTTTCCTTTTTATGTTTAGATACAGCCAAAAATTCACTACTGTTTAGCAGAAAGAATGCAACTAAAACAGACCGGGGACCAGGGGCAGACTGACAACACATGGGGCTACCAGGCAATACATGATTATGGGGCCCCCTTGTGCTCCGCCCATATACAAGACTATCCCACAAGCCCCACCTGCATAGACATTCTTGTGTCACAGAAATGTTTTCTCCACACTGTTTTTCAAATAGTGGGCCAATTCACTAAAAGATGATTTGCCGGGGAACTGGTGGGAGAATTTCAAAATCTAGACCAATATAGGCAATTTGGAAAGTGAGCTGAATGGCAGAATGCATGGCAGATCCAATACATGGCAGACTTTAGATTAGAACCGATACAAGGCAAACATCAGACCAGAACCAAAAGGTGCGTACTGGACCTCTGCAGAGTGACTGCTGCATTCACACAAAAAGTATGGGGTCCTCTACAGCATACTGGCAGGGAACAGTTCTATTCAGGCTGTGTCGACTTTCTAAGGAAAAAAACTCTAAGGCTTTGCACCTGCACACAGAATATATTTAGGTAATACAAACCAAAAGTTCACTTGGGTTTTAGGAAACTACCAAAAGGAACATCATTTCATTAACATATAAGGGAAAATTATAATAACTGAATGGCAAAGTACCATATACTATAGTATATAACCCAGATAGCAAGCAATTGAGCTGCAAGTTTGAAAATGACTTGCTAAACTATTGCTAGACTTGCCAAGCTTCACAATTTTGTTGCACAATTACAGCAAGTCTGCATTGCAAGTCTCCAGACCAGCGAGCTTGCAGAGCTCTTGCTAAGACCTGCAGGACTCTTGCTGTAGACTTGCCAAGCACATTTTCTACAAATTCAAAAAGTGTCAACTAGAACTTGTGCTGCGAGTGTTCTTCAAGTCTACAACTTGCCAGGAATGTGTGCAGGAAGTTAACAAAATTACAATTTCACCCTGACACAAGTTTGTAGCAAGTTACCCTTGCTATCTGGGAAGTTGTCTGATGAAATGTCATGTGACATGGAAATGCACAATACATGTCTATTTTTCTTCTTTTAAAGTGCAAGCTTATCTAATCTTTCAAAGTTAAACAAGCCCAGTTTTCTAATCTTTTATTATATGTAATAATATAATCCTTTTCATAATTTTATGACCTGCGTCTGAAACTAAAATGGATGCTAAAGATTTTTGTAAAATGAAAATCACACCCAAGACTTTTCCCTCACTACTATTAAAGTTGGATATTTAAATTGACTTATTTTGTGTATTCTGTGTTTTTTTGGGGTGCACGCTCAATGGACAGGAAAACAGATTCATATCAAATCTATATATTTTCTTAGTTTTTTTATTAAAATCATATAAACCAGATAATATGAAGTTGCTAACTTGTGATATCAGTAGAATAGACATAAATACACCACCCCTGAGGTATCCACCATTTTGTTGTAATGCACATGTTGAACAATTTATCCATTTGTATATCTTGATATTAATTAAATGATGGAACCATGATGAACTCTTAATGCCTTTCATGAACTCAGTCCACTTCTTCAGGAGAAACAAAGGCCATGAGATCTACAACATAAAAGTGCATACTAACCATCACATTAATTTAAGCTATACAACCCTGGGAATGTCAATAATTAATTAGTTTGAGTATGCACTTACATATAATCACCATGTACAAAGCAGCAAAAAAACTAATTTAGCCAACCGTGTGCGTGTGAGCCCAACTGCATCAAGGCAACCCGAAGGACCCCAGACGACAACCAAGAGCCAAGCCCCAGCACTATTATCTTCAGTAATTGTCCCATACCCTACGGAAAGAGGAAGAAGAGAAGAGGAGCGAGAAATGTAATATTGCATGTAGCATTGCTTCTCTTCAATATACAGCTTATTGAGCTTTAGAATGGTGTT